AGACCCGCCTGGTCGTGGTCCTGTGCAGCCTGCTCTGGGTGACCCTGCTTCGGCAGGGGGTTGGACTGGGTGACCCACAGAGGTCCCCTCCAACCTCTTCCATTCTGTGATTCTGTGATAATCCAGAATAAAGAATATCCACCCAGAATAAACCCTCTGAGGTGTTTTTAGAGTATCCATTCTGACTACGCAGCAGAGCAGGGAGTTTTCGGTGTCGGCAATCCTATTTTGCTGGGGTCCATTTTAAAGGGAAGAACTGCACGTGGCAGGTGATACTGCTTTAGCTGTTTATTGAGCAAATTCTGCATCTCTTCCAAATAACCTTTCAAGAAGGAACAAGCCAGAACAGAAACAACTAGGTCAGAGTACAAAGAGCTACTGTACCTAGATGATATGCCTGTTTGCTACTAATCCACAGGGTGGGATGCCAGAGATCTTATTCTTAACTGACACTTTTGGGGCACTTTCTGGATAAAAATATTTAAATTATGTCAGTCACAGATGCCGTCAATTTCTGAAAGCTGTTTTCCTCTGCCTTTTCAAATGGAGGTAGAAAATACTGAGCCCCTAAGGGATTGAAATATCTGGGGCTTTACATACTGAAAAGGATTAAAATAAATCCAGTCCCTTACTAAAAGCAATTCTAAAAGGCCATGAAAGATGGAACTGCTTATTGCTCATTAGAGAAGAAAGTTTACACTATTAAAATCAGTATTGCTCCGAGACCTACGGTTGCTGATTTCATTCTCTTTTGTTTCCAAAAGCGTACTGAATTCTCAAACAGATAAGAGGTTTCCTTTTGAATGTTGCGCTTTGAAAAAGAAACAAAACATCCCCTTTTGATTACTCAGTTGAAAGCAGAGCAGAATTTTTTCGAGGTATGTAGATAGCAATATGTTTCGTTTGCTATACTTGCCCGAGGCACGGCAGAATGCAGAAATATTTCCCATCACGTACCACAATGCTTTTGCACCAGAACGATGTACGGCTCCTCTATGTCACTGGGTTTTTTTGGCTGTGGGCTTTTTGTGTTGCTTTTTGGGTTGGTTTGGTTTTGGTTTTTTTTTTCACTAATTGACATGGTAAACACTAAGCAGGAAAGGAAAAGGGCATCCACTTCCTCTCTCCATTCAATCCACTCTCATCATCAGGATTAGCCAGCATGACACAACCTCTCTGCCGTCCCCCGGGGCTGCGCCGGCTGAGCTCTAGCCTCTGCTTTCAGTAAAAGAATAAGACTGCCGTGCCAAAAGGCTTGCATGCAATCTGTGGGCCAAATGCATCCCAGATGTAACTTTCACCCGGGAATTTTTGACATTGCATTCCTTATTTACAACCTACAAACCTGAGGGCAGGGGTTGGGGGGGGACAAAAGGGAGGGAAAGGGAAAGGGAGGAGATGCAGCAATGGGGAACAGGGTAAGATAGGTAAAATATTGCAAATATGTGGGGAAAAAATGGCATTAGAGCAATGTAGACGACCAGTATCTCACTGGTACCAAGTAGAATCAGAGAATGGGGTCCATATGCCAGCAATTACAAATCAAAGACTGAAATAATGATTTTTCTTCTCTCAGGATTTTGCAAACCACTTTTCAGTGAAAAACATTGCAGGATGCAACGCAGGTAGGAGAAAGGCGACATTTGTACATGAGACCCGAATCCCCTTCATTTCAACCAAGATTCATTGATTGCTTTTGTAACGTTGGTATTTTTCATCCAGAAACAACCAGAGTGGAGCACTGAATTTTCTCCACAACTGAAAAAGAGGGAAAAACTCAATCTCACTTACCCTGGTGATAATCTGAAGTAACTGCTGAAGATGAAGTTATTCTAGGTTCACCCTGTGGTAAAATACATTAAGTCTCTATATATGGGATTTTTAATTGGACAGAGAGATATCATTGAGGTTGCAAAGTACTTAAAAACTAGGATATGACAGTTTGTAATTGCTTTTCAAACCTTCAATTATCTCATTCTACACATCCAGCCCATATAAGGAATAAGAATACGCAGAATATGGGCTTTTAATTAAAAACTGCAAAACGAACGAAACCCAGAAGTGCTGAAAAGCCCCGTTATCTCCCAACTTCAGCCTTGTAACTGAAATAATTTCAGTATTTCATGTCATTTCTAGGTTGTTGTTGTATTTAACTGTAAAGCCACCTCCTGCTTTGTACCTTTCTTCTATGGCGAATCGCTAGTACCCAAACCCTGAAACTGAAACTGGAAAAATAGCACGTGATGCTGTAAG